TATATTTAAATTTACAGACATTTAGGTGGATAGACAATTTCCTTGCAGAAATGGGCATTGGTCCAGACAAAGCTATTTAAGTTCTCCTACTTCCTTTTAATAAAACAATGTTATATGTTAACAAGTAAAACGTTGTTAATTTTTGTTGGGCCGAATTTTTTATAACCCCATTGTAAATTTCTGTCTGTTGATATTTGATTTGGACGGAACCTGAGGCTATGTCCAAACATAACATATGTAGAAATCGAAATCCAAAATTACAACACTTCAAAGTGATAATGCGACTAAAACCATCTAATACTATGTCCAAACCTTGACCAAAATATATTTTTCTGTCAGTCTCCAAAACCTCGCAATGCGATCGATTTTGTGGAGAAAAAAAAATCAAAATATTGAAATAGGGATTGTACCGTTTCACTAAGGGTCAGAGATCCATTTTTTTTGCCATAATTAGAGCAGTGAGTTTATGAAGTAAATATTACATATAAGGGTCTCGAGGACTGATAACGATTCTGCAAGAAAACGCAAGAATTGAATAGAGTGGACGGAAAATTATGTTTTGTAGAACTAATTACAAATGTGAAATCAGATTTTAAAAATCAAACAAAATGATCCAAGTATGGTCAAGGATAACGCCTATAATTATCGTTGATGATAGATAACAATTTTGGAATGAATTGAACCGAAAACTTAAATGTTTGTGTGTTTTCGAGTCGAAAGCCGAACATCACAAGATAAGCCACGACTAAGGGAATCTGAACAAGTAATTAGAAGGGCTGTACTGAATATAAGTAATATTTGTTGACCTCTAAATATGAAATTTTTACATTGACTAAACTGTGACCCACAATGTTATAAAATTGTGAGGTTTTGCAAACGAAATGAACAACTTAACCCGAATAGTGCTGTAATTATTTTTTTCCGAATTTTGGGACGTCTCTAGATTGTGGGTCACTGAATCCAAAAATTGGATTTGTAGCCTTTTTTCTTATCAGGATAATCGACAGGATCACTTACAACTCATAAATGACATTGATGTCAGTGGTATGTTTATCAGTAGTTCACACCAGATGATTTATTGATCGTATTATGAGTGTGACCATATGGTTACGATAGCACAGCTCGGATTAAGAACGATGTTAAAATTCATGATATTTTTATGGAAAATCTAAATGGGAAAATCTAGTTAATTTGATGTATTCTAGTTCATACGAAGGCTATGTACGTACATAATAACGAGTTAATATTTAACTGATCTGGTTTTTAGTTTTTTTCGAGACATCGCTTTATACACAATTACATAAAATTTTCTTAAAATATTGTTAGAAGAATTCCCACTTTGGCTAAACATTGAATGTTTAGCTAAAATATTGAATTTATTGCTGGGGTAATGGCGCACGCCAGTTTTTATCTTAAATATCCGAATGGGTATTTGTAGAATAATGTGTGATGGTATTTTAAGAATAGACATATGAAATAAATGAGTCCATATCGTTTTATAGTCAAAATTAAAAAACAAAAAACTTTTCAAATATCGTTGGCAAAAAAAAAAAAAAAATGTTAAATGTTCATTTTTTTTATAATTCACTCTTAGTACTTTTTTGTAGTATTTTCAAAATATTTAAAAATTAGATTTTTATATTTTGAATAAAGGATAGGGAAATGCGGTCAATCACGCGAATCAAATTAAAAATAAAAAATTTGCAAATGATATTTCTGGGTCACGGAGTAACTCACGCGGCATTTTTGTTTCACGCGACAAAAAAGTTCTACCGCATTGGTATACCTTTTTTCAGGAATTCCGCAATATATAAAGCTGTCTCGATATTGGATTAACAAATTTTGACATTTTATGGGGAAGGTACCAGAAGGAGTGGAACAACGTGTCCCATTTTCTGGAAAATGTTGACCATGTTGTGTGGGTGGTACCCAAAGAAGTGGACCGGTGGGTCCCATCTTCCTACTTGAATCAAACCGCACATTCCACACCATTGTTATTGAAATAAAACATTTTCAAAATTCTGATCCATTTTGGAGGAGGTACAAGAACAAAGTTTGGATGACAATTTTATATTCTGTTTTGTTATAAATTTTTATACTATGTGGGGGAGGTACTGCATGATATTTAAAAATACATACTTCCATGAAACTTTGCATTTTAATACCCTTCGCCACACTGTCGTACATGGTATTATATATTTGAGCATATGATTGTAACAGGCAAAAGGAAACGATATAGACACATGGATCCTCTTGAGAATATGCATATAATACTTTCAGAGTTGATTTATGCATGTCCGTCCGTCCGTCTGTCCATGTATTCATGTGAACAAAGTACAGATCGCATTTATAATACGATTTAGATTATTGAAATTGAGATTGGATAAAATCTGTGCAGTTTTGTTGAAATCGGTTCAGATTTAGTTTCGTGTGATTTTAGGTAAAATCCCATTTTTATACCCTTCACCACACTTTGGTACAGGGTATTATGTCTTTGTGCATATGTTTGTAACAGGCAAAAGGAAACGAGATAGCCACATCCTTTTCCTTTTGAAAATATGCATAGAATCACTTTGAGTCGATTTATGCATGTCCGTCCGTCTGTAGATGTTAAACTGTAAACAAAGTACAGGTCGCATTTATGATCCGATTTGCCACAAGTCACTTATTTAGCCCAAGGACGAACCCTATTGAAATTGGGAAAAATCGGTTCAGATTTAGATATAGCTTCCATATATATTTTCGTCCGATTTAAGGTAAATGGGGCACCAAAGTCCCTCTATATCTTTCGATTTGCACGAAATTTAGCACATCGTAATGAATAAGGTCTAGAATGATGTGTGCAAAATTTCGTGAAAATCGGTTCAGATTTAGATATAGCACCCATATATAGCTTCGTCCGATTTTAGGTAAATAGTCCACTAAAGCCTCTGGAAATCTTTTGATTTGCACTAAATTTGGCACAGCACAATGAATAAGGTCTAGAATTATGTCTGCCGAGTTTCGTGAAAATTGGTACAGATTTAGATATAGCTCCCATATATATTTTCGTCCGATATAATGTAAATGGTGCACCAAAGTCCCTATATATCTTTCGATTTGCACGAAATTTGGCACAGCGTAATGAATTAGGTCTAGAATGATGTGTGCAAAGTTTCGTGAAAATCGATTTAAATATAGCTCCATACATATATTTTCGTCCGATTTAATGTAAAAGTCCACCAAAGTCCCTATATATATCTTTCGATTTACACGAAATGAACTAGGTATAGAATGATGTGTGTTAAGTTTCCTGAAATCGGTTGAAATTTAGATATAGCTCCAATATATAGTTTCGCCCGATTTAATGTAACTGGTCCACCAAAGTCCCTATATATCTTTCGATTTGCACGAAATTTGGCACAGCGTATTTGATTAGGTCTAGAAGGATGTGTGTTAAGTTTAATGAAATCGGTTCAGATTTAGATATAGCTTCTATATCTGGCCAAATAAAAATTTAGTATCGGTTGCAGAATGAAATGTTTATGGATCCAATTTCATTCCTTTAAAAATTCGACGTCTGTTAGGATTTATCTGTTGAATGTACCCAAAGTGGTGAAGGGTATCATATAGTCGGCCCCGTCCGACTTTACTACTTTCCTTACTGGTTTTAAACTAGGATAGAGTGTGTTAAATTTCATTGAAATCGGATCAGATATAGATTTTAGGTGCACCACTCACAAACTCCCAAGGTTTGTGCGATTAAGACGAAATATTGCGGAGCGTAATGAATTAGGTTCTGTTTGATATCTGTGAAGTTTTGTTAAAATCGGTTCAGATTTAGATATAGCTCCCAGATATAGTTTTGTCCGCTTTTATGTAAGTGTTACACCAAACCAAACGAAATATTGCGGAGCGTAATGAATTAGGTTCTGTTTGATGTCTGTGAAGTTTCGTTAAAATCGGTTCAGATTTAGATATAGCTCCCAGATTATGTAAGTGGTACACCAAACTAAAAATAGATGTCCGATTAAGACACAAGTCTGCCCGATTGGTATGTTTTTTTTCATAGATATCAGAATGGTATTTCTATGTTTTTTTATTGTTTCAAATATCTATGTAGATCACACATTTAATTTCGTCCGATTCCATTTCAATGGTGCTTCAAAGATACTGAAAACACTTACAGTGGCATGTGACAAAATTATATATATATGTTATTGGCCTTAATATTGGAAACAATTGTAATTAATTAAAACAATTGAACATCGATATTAGGAAATATGAATATGAAATCGTCAAAAGTTTTTACCTTCATTAAATATGCCCCCACCGAATCACATTTAAATAAAATTAGTTTATAATTATTTTATTTATTATTTTATTCGGTGAATTTTCAATTCAAACTTATTTTTATGTATAGCGGTATAAAAATAATTTAAATATACAACTTATTATTATTATTATTTAGAATTCTGCTTAATTTATATATTTTTGTGTCTTAATATATGAGCTTACTATACTGATATAAATATGTATGCGTATGTATGTAAATGTTTGTAATATTTTAAAAATTAATATTAAGTTTTTTATTATTGTCATAATTTAGTTTAGAGATTAAAAACAATTAGAGTATTTGTCGAATACTGAATATCATTCCTAAGGTATATTGGATACATGAGGGGTTAATACGTTATTTATAAAAAATTAGAAAATATATTCCGCACACTATGTTGGTCCAATATTTCTAAATCAAACCGAGCCCCTCAGTGGTGAACACCTGTAATTGAATTTAATCTCCTGCTAATAAAAATATATTTCAAAGTTTTAGTTATGATTATTTAATATAAATATTATATTAATTCTTAAAGCTTAGACTTAGATATTATAACTTATAATACTATAAATAGTCTCCATCCGCTAAGTTGTGCTCACAGATTGTTCCGTAGTGGGAATAACGCTAATACTAAAGTTTGAAATGTTGAAATCTCTCGAAGATATTGATGTTGAATATCCTCCACCTAACACTCCAATGGAGAACATTTAACACCAATTTCGGTACATCGACACTCCTGACATGGTGAGGACAGCTCGAGTATGATTCGACCCACTCGATACATGCGTCCATAGATATTACAACCGGCTAATTTTAAGATGCCAATTGGATCAATTAAATTATTCAGCGTTGCTGAGCTGCGTGAAGGCAATGATGTTGACACCTCAACATGGCCATGAGAGGTCGTGGTGGTGGTGCTGGTCGTACTGCTGCTGCTCGTACTGAAGGAGGGATGATGATGTTGTGCAGCCATTAATTTGGCATGGTTAACAGATGAAATATGTTCCGCAGAAGACAATGAATATGGATTTTCTGAAGATGAGGAAGATGACGTTCCGGATGATGTTGAGAAATATGGAAGACCATCGTCTGCCGGTCCATTGGCCACTAAAAAGGTTTGACTTGGAATTGCAAATGAAGGCGTTGCTGAATTACGTTTCACTTCAAAGCTGGCATCCATGAAAGGCAATTTGTCAAAAGGTGACATTAAAAATGGATTTGTTGTGGTTGTTGTTGTTGGCGGCGATGGCGATGATGTCGTTGGTGGTGGTGCCTTTGTTTGCAATGATGTTCTCCTCGTTGTTGCTGTCGTTGTCGTCTTCGTTGCAGATGAGTTTGGTAATGCTGTCGGTGGTGGTGTTGTTGTTGTGTGTATTCCAACTTTAGTTGTTGTTGTCTTCTTGGGTCTATTGCCGCCAACCGTTACAGCGCCAGTACGTTTTGTATTTTTGCCAGAGGATTGTGACTCAATATTTGTCCCATTTAATCGATGCTGTGCAGATGATCCCTTCGCCGCATTGGCTGTGGCATTAGCCATTTTTGTTGCCTGAACTGGTATGTTCGTGGGCCTGGAGTTAGGTTTATTGTGATAATGTTGCCTTGTCGGTTTATTGCTTGTTACACGTCGTGTTGCATTCGATGATTTGGTTTTCGTTGAGACTGCGGATGACGCCAATATCTTTGTTTCAGTTGCCGTTGCACTTGGCTGGCCGACAGACACTTTGTTTTTGGTCAATTTCAAGTTCGGTCTGTTAGCATTGTTGGCTGTCGTCGTTGATGTCGAAGTGCTGGTGGCATGGGCAATTGTTTTATTGTTGTTATGCTTGATGACCGGTCTTTTGCTGGCCTTAGTGGTGATTGTTGTTGTTGCTGTGGTTGACGTCGTCAATGTTGTTTGTTTTGCTGTGTCTATTGGTTTTGCTGTTGTTCCAGTGCCTGTCAATGTTGAACCGTCCGTCTTAGTATTGCTGTTTTCCTCTGGCATGTATTTGATGATATCCCCAGCCTTTGGCATAGTCGAATTTCCATCATTTGATTTTTCAGCCTCATCATCATCCTGATGCTCCTCCGTTTGAGACTTATTCATGGCATTTTCGGCATGGTTGTTCGCCGTTGTTTTTCCTGTTGTGGTTTGTTTGTCACTCATGTCTTGTGTAACTTTTTTGCTGTTATCTCCAATATCGGTCATTGTGTTCGTTGCCTTCAAATCTACATTATGGAAATGAGCTTCGGCTGCTGATGCTGTTGCCTTGACTGATTGTTCCTCCACATTCATGTCAAAAGAGATTTGTACATTTTCCTTTGATGGCTGTTGAGTGGTTGTGACAATGGTGCTGTTGTAGTTCGATTGGGTAATCAAATTTTTTAGTTTATCCTCGATTAGCGATGTTAGATCCGGTGGCAGTTCAGTGCGAATGACATCTTTGAAGGGATCTGGTGTTGTGATTTCTGCGAAATGGAAAGATGTATTTGAAAATATGAGTTATATTAGGTTTGTGATGAATAATAATATAATAAAATGGAAGGCAATGAAAACAATATATGTATTAAATTGCTTTTTACAACATAAGTCTTTGTTCTTTAATCACTACACGGAAATTACACGTATAAGCAAGAGTTTCTGGAACCGTTATCAGAATTTTGAAAATTCTGGAAATGATTCTATTTTTACTAAATATAGGTCCAAATATTGAGCCTATCAATCTGTGCCAAAGATCAAAACCTAAAAAAATAGAAATCTCACACAAAGAGTTTTTCGTCCAATCTGATACGGAGTCGGACAAACATTGGGTTGATACAGAGTTTATTTTTTCGAATGGTGGTTTTTACGTTTTGGCTGCTGTAGTTATGTGTGCAGATTAAGCCTCTCGGTACAACGTAGAAAAATGAAAATCCAACCAATTCATACTCAGAGTAACCGATGATTGGCTACTTCGTCCCATGAAAATTGTCCAATGATTGGTAATTTCGGCCCATTATTATGCTACTAATTTAAGAGAATTCCGTTTAAAAATTCAGTGTTGGACCGAAAATCGCATTTTCGTTCCATTTTCAGAATTTTTACGTTTTTTTTCGAACAGTTACATAATATCTGAGAAAGAATAAAATTTAATTAGCGTATTTTCCCTTACGCCATATCTGTAAATTTGGGATCAGTTCGAGCGTCCGTTTCCCCTTCCATCTCCCTAAGAATATATCTTTGTGTGAGAAGCAATAGTTTGGGGTTTCGCATTATTAGTTAAAACCCATGGGCACCAACCAGGTAATGGTCTGGCATATATTTTGGATTCGCCAATGTTCAGGGATAATGGTCCTTCATACGATGGTTACCATAAATCTAAGCATAGTATTAATGAACAAGTTTCCTAGATTTTGACCACACGGGATTCTTTATTCGGTGTAAATTATTTTACCATATCGGATACCCCATTTGCTTCAATGAAATTTAAGATATTTAACCAGAAAATAAATATTAAAATATTACGCACTTTGAATCAAATTGGATATTCCATTCACTAGATATGTGATTTAAAAAATGTCAAAATGTAGAAATGGGCCGATTGGGGTATTCCGTTAACTTCATACCACATTTAAACATTTTCCAAATGGCAATGTTTGGGGAAACGTCTTAATGATTTTTTTTCAGCTTTGTCTAAAATTTTGGCACTTTGTGGAATTGTAAGAAAGCACAAGATTCAGTTGTTATGCAGACATTCATTTCAGGCTCACATGGAATATTTAATTCGAGTGGGCATATGTTTCGGAAAGAATAAGAGCCATCAAATGTTATATATACGTCCGAAAGCATTAAGTTTTGCCTCCATTGCTAAGTTTCGAATATGGAGAAGATTTTTTAAATAGTTTCTGATCTTCTTCGTAGCCTAACGTCAAATGCAAACACGGTTGAAGTATATCTACAGTGGGCCAAAGTCAAAAGTATTTACATGTTTTTATACCCTCCACCATAGTATGGAGGATATATTAATTTGGTTTTCCCGTTTCTAACTCATCGAAGTTATCATTCCCGACCCTATAAAGTATATATTCCCTCATATTTAACAATGTCCGGCTGTCTTTTGTAATCACTCTAGCCTCTAAACGAATTGAGATAGATCGGCAAAATGTTGCATAGTTTTGTTTTTTACTGCAGGCAGTTAAAGTTCGAAGATTGACTACATCGGTCAAAATTTAGGCATAGCTCCCATATAAAAAAGGTATTTTGGGGTTATTGACCGCATTTTTCGACCGAATAATTTGCTACTTGGTTTGGTTTATTTTTCGTGTAGCAACCATTTTCCGGTATTTTTGGGGTTCATGAGCGCGCTTTTCAAACGAATTCGCTTTAATTCTATATTTAGTAATCGTATATGGTAGCAAATCTCCTTCCCAACAATTTAACTTTTTAAATTGTTCTTTTTAGAAAGACTACTTTCTGGCCCATAAAGTTTCACCGATACGATGTTTGATTATTCGTTCAAGAAATTTTCAGTTATATCCAGTTATAGGATTTTGAAGAATAGTCGCCTTTTGCGTTGCTTATTAGATCAAAGTTTTGTTTTTTCATCGCTAAGGAAAAATACCCGGCATTAGGCATTAGTTGTATAGTGAAGCATCCGGTCGTATTATTGGAATGTCTTTGATGACTTCGAGCGGTATACCGTCACGAGACGAGTTTCAACTGCCTCCTGCCGGGCATTTCGTTGCCCTGCTGCCTCTTACCCTGTACATATATTGAATGAACTAAATCGTTCATTTCTGAGTTCATTGATCAATCGATCATCATTCATTTAGTTCATTGATCGATAATAGACAATGATGCGAGGAGGAATTGTTCAACTCGTTCGCGAAATAAAGAAAACAAATCTGTAATTTCATGGTCAGGCACAATTTTGTTCCTGAAGCGATATGATTTTTTCGTACGCTCCGCTAAAGGAACTAGTTCATTTTAGTTCAAACGGTCATTCAGTTTATGAACGGGATAATATAGATGAAGGATTGTATAAAAAAAGTAGGTCAATGAAAGCAAAAATTATCGACTGGAGTAAAAGGAACCACCGATTGCTTTTTTGGCGGTAATGTCTAACAAACTAGTTCGTTCCGGATTTCTTCTGAGAATTATTCATTCACAAATCAATTAACATATATATTTTGAAAGGTCGACTATTATACTTCCGGATTAAATCGGATTAGATTATTGCAAATCTTTACGAGGAGTTTTAACCGAAGTTTCAATTGTTTTGACATAACATTTACATTGACCATAATTTTCGGGTTCACAGAGGATGCAGAATTTCTTGGCAGGAAATTGCCATAATATATGTAGGTTTGGTTATATTCCCCCACTTTTCAATATTTTTTGAATCGACTGACCCTCATATTCCCCTAAACCACTCTGTTTGACCTTTCGGAATTAATGTTGTTTTCACATTTCCAGAGTTACGTTTTTAGGCATACTTTCTTTTGCTACAAACACAATATTTATTGAATCAATTCCTATGGGATTTATAACAACATAATAAATATAAAAGATGTACTTACCTATAACTTTAGTGGTATTTAGGACATCCGCCGATGTAGTAATGTCAATGATATGCTGAGTCACTTGATAACTATCACCAACATTCACACTGACATTATCATGATCATCGTCCAAAATCAATGGGTCCTTGGGTACGAAACCTCCCTCGGTTTTGGTGGGTGGCGAAAAACCCTTGGGTGGTTGTAAGTTTGCAGCGGAGAAATCATATTTGACAAAAGCTGGTGAACCCAAGGTGCCATCAAATTTACCCGGTGGTGATGAAACCAATGAATCGGGGCCTTCAACATTAAATTTGTAAATATATTCCGCCTTACTGCCATCTTCCAAATCTGGATAGAGAGGATATTTTTCCGTTATCGAGGGGTATAAATTGGCATCGTCATATTGATCGTAATCTATGCGCGAAGTTGGTCCCGATCCATGATGATAAAAGTCATAAGAGGGTGGTTTGTTGTGATCTGCCTTAACAGCATCGGTGGGTAGGAAGGGTATTATCTTGAGATTGGGTAAACTTGGTGGTAGCGTATGATCGGTATTTTGATCCAGTGGTTCAGCTTCTAAAATTGTGGGATTTGTTTTGATGACAACTGGTTTTAGGGTGGATGTTGTTATGGTTGGTGGTGCGGAGGTTGTTGTACTTGTTGTTGTTATTACTGTTGTTGGTGATGTGTTGCTGGTAGTTGTTGCCGCTGTGGTGCTGCTTGTTGAGGTGTCTTCTTTTAGCAGACTTTCGGAAATTGGTATTATGGGATTTTTGCTTAAATGCGGTGGGAGGGGTTTAAATGTGGAATTGGTTAATATTTTTGTGGAAATCATGGGAGGTTTTACGGTGAGATTTGCAATTTTGGAATTTATGCGACTATAGGTTTTATCCGTGGGCAGGGGTTTGAAAAATGGCAAAGGTTTGGGGGAAGGTAAATTATTGGTGACAATTTTAACAGGGGGAAGTTTGAGACTTGTTTGATTGTCGGGTTTTGTAAAGTTTTTCGGAGGTTTATCACTTGACAGAATGCCACTTAGGCCATCTAGCAGCACACTTAGTAAATCTGGACCATTATCGGGTTTTATTTCAGGTTTTGTGGTGATATTTTTCACAGGAAGTTTAGGTGGACTTTTTGTCGTTGGCATCTCTGTTTTCAATTCCACCCGCAATTTTGCTGTGGTGCTCTCGGTGGTAATTGGTCTTTTTGTTGTAACATTAGCTGTTGTAATTTTCTTTGTTGTTGCTGTTGTGGGCTTCTTTGTAGTTGTTGTTATCGTCGTCGTAACTTTTGTATTTGTTGCATTTTTAATTTCAAGTTTAGTGGCCTCCGTCGTCTTACTTAACTCTGTTGTTTCACTGAGAGTGGTGGGCAAGGTCTGTGTTGTCTCCTCACCACTCTCGGTTTCCATGGTACTATCCATAGCATCAGTTGTGGTCAAATATAATTTATCCTGGTCCTCAGCTTTAAACACCCCCAAATCATCTTCTTCTTCACCATCATCGGTAACATTGTTACGATCCAATCGGTCAATAGTGGTGGTGCCGGTACTGGTGGTATCATCGAAATCTGTTAGATCCTGAACCGTAGAGGACTCTTTAACATCAATTTTATCCGATACCGTTGATGAAGTTCTTAGATCATCATCATCTGGAGCCAATAACAAATCGACCCATGAGATTCCTGTAGTACTACTACTCGGCGTGGTCTTCTCTTCCGGTTCAGCTTCTTCGGCAGAATTCTCCTCAGCATTGATTTCTGATGGTCCCAACAATAGATCTAATAAACTAATCTCCGTAGTTGATGAAGGTTTCTCCGCGATACTCCCCAATGGTATTGGTGTGGGTGATGGTTGAATCCCTGTCAAATCCATATTATCTTTCAGCATTTGATTATTGTTGTTGTTGTCTATAAATTCCAAACCTTCCCGCAGAGTATCAAAAATACTTTTCTCTGTTGTGGACACCACCACCTCACCGGGTGGCTTAGTTTTCATCGGTTGTTTCTCCACCACCTCTGGATGACGATCGGGTGGATATTGCACAGCAATTTCCGATGGACTTGCCTCTTGATCTTCCTCTTCATCTTTGCCAAATAATAAAGAGAACAGATTAAATTGTCTTGAATTTTGTGAACGGCGATAATCCCGCTGACTACCACAATCATAACTAGAGGGACAACACTGACCCTTCGGTACCACGGGTATGCAATTTCTCAACGCTGGAGCGCATTTCTTCGGTGCACACTTCCTCTGACCACGTATACAAAAACAAATATCACATGGTTTATCCTTGTCGGATTTCATTTTCTGTCCCTCTGCATAGAATTGAGAACCCACTGTGCAACCACGATTTCGTTGAAGTCTTTGTGACATACGTAAATAATGTTTATTGGCCGTTTTACGATAGCGAACCTCCTGCGATGATTTGCCAGTTTGTTTTGTACTGCAATCGTAACGTACCGGGCAACACGTTGAATCGACAAAAATTGGTTTACAACCTTCGAGCGGTAACATACATTTAGGTTTGACACATTTTTCAGTACCACCTGAAATGGAAATTAATGGAAATCATATACTGAAATTGGTATTAATGTATTTTTCGTGGTTTCTTACCAATGCAGTAGCAATAAGTGCAGAGATTTGACGATGACATTGCCGAACCCGATTTGTAGACAGTTCCATTTTTCACACAAACTGAAAAGAAAATAAAATAATTTAATAAATTTGTTAAATCAAATGCTACTTTGTTAATCGAAAATTGTACGTTATATGACAACGTCTTCGATTTGACGTAAATGGAGCATCGAACTCAAAATGTTGGCCGATTTAGACAAAGTTTTGTATTGTGTAGTATATTTAACCTTGAATGGTATAGCTCCTGCATATATTTTCAAATTGCATTAAAAGGTGCACCAGTTATCAGATTTTGTTTAATTTCACAGTTTTCTAATATTCGAAAGCCTATCAGTAGGGGTATTGTTATTAAGCAGAAAATCTCCCTACCATAAATATCATAATTGGACACAATTTAGGGATGGCCCCCATTGGCTAAGTTTTCCAACATAAACAGCCATAATGTAATGTGGGAAGAAAATGTTGTCTACTAAAAATTATCAATATTGGTCCTCTTTTTAAGGTAGCCCCCAAATGATTTTGAATACACAGTCGATTGTGGAGGGTATAAAAAGTTCCGGTCGGCCGAACCGAAAGTCTACTCTTTCATGTTTTTTATGGACGAAAGACTTTCTTTAGGGTTTTTTATAAATAAAACTTTCTTCGGCCAAATATATACAAAGGAATTTCTTATAGACTTCTATAAGGAAACAAGATATTTGTCTTCTGGAATATAAGACCATACTTTGGTATATATTAATGTTCCGATCATTTTAGGATTCTAATATTAGGTTAAGGAAAAAAGAATCCCTTATTATTATATGAACTATTGGACTTTATTTAACATGCCAAACATGCACCATTTTGTTGTATGATTTGTTGCCATTTTTTACTGCATAATGCCTCTCTCATAGAACCTCTGCGCCCTAGATACCAATGTTTTATCATTAAAGCAATTTTACAATTTTACAATGCAAGAAAAAAATGATAATCGCTTGGTGCCAAGTCCGCTCTGTATGGCGGATGCATTAAAACTTCCCAACCAAGCTCCCGAAGTTTCTGGCGAGTCACTGTAGATGTGTGTCCTGGTGGAACACGATACATATCCTGTTCTTCCCGTTTCTGGTCAATTGATATGTTCAAACGGTCCAGTTGTTGGTAGTAGATATTAGAATTTAGCGTTTAGCCATATAACTCATAATAAATCTTCTTCCAGTCCCACCAAATGCGTAGCAGAACCTTCCTGCCCATTAGTCCTAGTTTGGCCACCGTTTGAGGTACTTAATTTGTGATCTATTTCGCATCTCCAGTCACCATCCGTTTAAGAAATGGGTATATCTCATTCCGTTTGACCAAGGCTTCGCAGATGGAAAACTCGATCCATCCTATTTTTTATGTTAATTGTTTTGGCACCAGAACATCGAGCTTCTTTTTAAATACAGCTTTGTGTAAACGTTTTAAAACTGTTTCATGATCGATTTTTAGCTCCTGGGCGATGTTAGGACTGCTAAAATGCGGTCAACTTCGATCATTTCTCATACATGAGACCGATTATCACGAAAAGAGCCATGCTTGTTCCTTGGTCATATCCCATTCTCCGAGTAAAATTTTAAGATGTTTGGTTCGCAATCGTGGTCTGTAGAGCAACCAGAAAAACAAACAAAACCCAGTAAAGAAAGTAGTAAAGTCGGGCTGGGCCGATCATATGATACCCTTCACTACTTGGGGCATATTCTACATATGTAACCTAACAATTTCATGTCATGTCCTTCGAGGAGAATTGACTAACATCAATCCATACGCATACCTTTCTGCGACGTTTGCGAACAATGGGACAAATTTATGTAAATCGATTTATATCACACTTGATATACATTATTCGGTATTCCGCAAAATATGACTACACTAGTTCGAAATATTACTATGCATTATATATATATATATATATATATATACTTAATATCTAAATCTTAACCGATTTTCAGGAAACTCAACACACATCATTCTAGATATAATTCATTACGCTATGCCAAATTTCGTGCAAATCGAGCGATATATAGGAACTTTGGTGCCTCAATTTACCTTAAATCGGACGAAAGTATATATTGGAGCTATATCTAAATCTAACCAGATTTTCTCGAAACTTATATATATATATTTATATATATTCTTGATCAGGGTAAAATTCTAAAACGATTTAGATATTTCAGAATGTTTGTCTGTTTTCAGTGGGTAAAACTATATATATATACATATTCGTTATATGGGGACTACACCAAATTTTCGACATTTTTCAACCGATATGCTTGTAATTTGGCAGATTTCCATTAGGTACGAAATCTGCCTACTAAAAAGCATTAAATTTTGATCACAGTTTTCTACCAAATCCGCTATACTTTGGTATATTGGATTCCTTGTTTGTACCTTTTTGATCAGCGTAAAATTCTATGACGATTTAAGCACGTCCGTCTGTTGGTGTAAATTGAAATTAAATTGTTAACAAAGTACAGGTCGCATTTATAATCCGAATTCGATGAAATTTGATCCAAGGACGAACCCTATTAAAATTGGGAAAAATCGATTCAGATTTACATATAGCTCCCATATATATTTTCGTTCGAATGGTGCACCAAAGTCCTTGAGCCAGATTTAGATATAGCTCCCATATAAATGTTCGTTCAATTTAATGTAAATGGTGCCCCAAACTCCCTATATATCTTTCGATTTGCCCGAAATTTGGCATAACGTACTGAATTGGGCTTAGAGTGATGTCTGTTAAATTTTGTGAAAATCGGTCCAGATTTAGATATAGCTCCTATATATAGTTTCGTCCGAGTTAATGTAAATGGTACACCAAAGTCCGCATATATCTTTCGCTTTGCACGAAATTTGCCATAACGTACGGAATTGAGTCTAGAATGATGTGCGCGGAGTTTCGTGAAAATAGATTCAGATCTATATATATATATATATATATATATATATTCATCCGATTTAACGTAAATAATGTACTAAAGTTCTCATAGTTCAGATATATGGGATATGATGGGAACAAAACGTACTGAAATTAGTATAACCTAACCTGTGACAATTTTCGTTGAAATCGGTTCATATTTGGATATAGCTTCCATATATATTTTCGTCCGATTTTAAGTAAGTGGTGCATAAAACTCATCATGCTTGTCAGGTTGACATGAAATTTTGGACAATGTACAAAATTGAGCATAGAATAACGTAGTTGCGTTTTCTAGAAGAAGTCATAGCCCAACGGATGTGCTATTGATATTTGTTCGAAGTCGATTTACATAATTTTATGGATTGATCAAAGTCGATTTACATTTAGATAAACATCACATATATTAGTTCATCCAATTTCATTTTAATAGTCCAGTTTAATATGCACATAGTGGTGAAGGGTATCATATGTCGGCCCCACCCGACTTTACTACTTTCCTTACTGGTTTTTTAATGTTTCTGGTCGTCAGTATTTTACAATATATTGTGTTTTCGGAGGTTCATTTATTTGTAAAATGCCCTATGTATCCCACCCATTTTTTTTTACATCGGAAGTTCTACCCGGCTAAACTTAACGCTTTTTTCACTTGTGTATATTAAAATAGATGACTGATTTGCTTAAAGTGTTGAGGTTGTCCCTACATAACTGTATTACATCATAGAATGGGGAATATTCTGAACTAGAAATTTTTGCTTATATCCTATAGAGAATGGTAATCGAAGGCAATCTAACCATTTCCATCCGGGTGTACATATATTGGAATCATACTAACGTTAGAGGGTACTGAAATACATACGAAACTAAAAGTTTATGTTCGAAAATACACTATGACGGTCCACATTTAGGTATATCCCCGTATAATAATGCATCCCAATTTTAGGTACTTTAAATGTTAATCCTAGGACCAATATTTCATGGCGTTGCAAACACTTTGGCCCACATAAACGTAAAATACGTACACAGCATATTTGTGTAGGGTATATAAATTCTAAGAATAAATCCGCAACCTATTCCTAATTATGTACTGCTGCATCATTTAATAGCAACTCAACTTCATAAATAATTAATTATAAACAATATCGTTAACACAAATGACAACAAAAACAAAAATGCAGACTAATTAAAAGCCCATTTAACAATGCGAACTAAGCATGCCGCCACTATCAGAGACTCATTAAAGGATGCTACTACAACAGCAACTACGACTACTGACTGTCTGTTTCCCAATATCTTAGGGATAGCTTTTAGCCAGTCCCCTTAAACTTACCATACAAATCCACATCGGTATCGTCGGAACGTCGCTGCAGCATATTGTCATTGACTACACGATCAATTGATTCACGCTCGTAATGATCCAAATAAGCGATAATACGTCGCGTGGCTGGTATCTTGTAGAAGGCATCTAAACGTGCACACGACAGATACGGACAACATGTGTTCTTCTTTTGGACGACGACACAGCCGCGTGGTGGTGGCATCGGCATCTCTGGGCAAACTTTTAAGCGGCAGACCAATGTTTTCTTCGTACACTGACAGTTGAGACATTTCTCGGTTGTGGGAACTAATGATTTGTCCGCGTACCAAGTACCATTGTGGTAACAACCTGTAAGAAGAGAAAGATCGGTAGATAATGAATGAATCTTAAAAAGCTATCAGGAGGTAGAAAGAGGGTTTTTTTCTTTCCTGTAATGGTAGCTGATGTTGATCAGACAACAACGCATCACTTTTGGTCTTGGTTGTTGTGGTGATCGCCCATAGCAGTTACCGTGTATGGCGATGGAGGTGGTGGGATGGGAACTAAATATAAAAATTAGTTTGGTATGTCTTAGCAAAATTACTGCATTTTTAATAAAAAGCAAAACTGTTTCTTCTTTTTCTACAGTGGATCTGCACTGAAAGTGTTACCAAACAATGCCGATAAAGTTATTAAGATAAGACTTCTTGTTAGCAAATGTCGCTAACGTTACCATATACGATGATTGCAAATGGTGTGAATAAAACTTGTACAATATTTAATAAAATAACATGGGAAGATATTTAGAGTTTTTACTTTGGACAATTAGTAGATGTGTGGATAACAATATTTCAAGAATTATGGAGCAATTAATGTATAATTACTTTTACATTAATATGTATGTTACTTTAACGTAGTTCCAAATTTATATGGGTCCTTTTTAGAATTATAGAGGTGGGGTCGCAAAAGGTAGTTTACTAACTTGACTTTACCTACTAATAACCAAATTCCAATATGTGCTTTTTACTTTATGATTGTGATATCGTAACAACATACCATGGACCAGGAACCCATTTTTGTATGACCTTCATCACACTGTGGTACTGGGTATTATGTCTTTGTGTACATGTTTGTAACAGGCAAAACGAATCGAGATAGACCCATGGTTCCTTTTGAGAATATGCAGAGAATTACTTTCTGAGTCAATTTATGCGTGTCTGTCCATCCGTCCGTCCATGTATTTTTGTGACCAAAGTACAGGTCGCATTTATGATCCGATTTGGATGAAATTTGGCACAGATAACTTATTTGACACAAGGAAGAAAATCGGTTCAGATTTAGATATGGCTCCCATATATAGTTTCGTCCGATTTTATGTAAGTGGTGCACTAAACTCCCAATATTGGTCCGATTGACACACCATTTTACACAGTGTACTGAATTAGGTTCAGATTGATGTATGCTGAGTTTTGTTGGAATCGGTTTAGAATTAGATATATCTTCCATATATAGTTTCGTCCCATTTTATATATTTGGAGCAATATACTGCCAATATTGGTCCGATTGAGACAAAACATTGCACAGCGCACTGAATTAGGCCCAGATTGATGTTTAGATATAGCTTCAGGTTTAGATATAGCTCCCATATATAGTTTCTTCCGATTGTATGTAAATGGAGCACCTTACTGCTAAAGTGTGTCCAATCGAGGCAAAATTTTGCATAGCATGTTGAAGTTACTACTGGTTGACATAAGTGAAATAGGTTCAGATTTTAATATAGCTCACATATATACATTAGTCCCATTTTATGTAAATGTTGCACCATAAATCCCGTTTTATTTGCAAGACATTTTGTTGTTGAAATCGGTTCAGATGTAGATATAGCTGGATTTTGTGTCGAGATACATTTTCGATAGTGCACTGAGCTGCAACATACGGTTGCTCAAATACGCACAAATATATATAGCACCATACATATTTTGCTCGATTTTATACAAATGATTGACATTCAATATTTCATGAATTTCAGAATGTTTATTGAATGAATTTTCAGTTGTTTTAATATATTCAAACTAGCAGACCCTGCAAGTGTTGTTTTGCCGTATCAAAATTGCGGCACTTTAGGTTTGGCAAAAATTAACAAATTCATGGAAAATATATATCAGAAACAATTTATCATTTAATTTATGTCACATTTTCGCTATAAAAAATACGCATAATATTTTCCTCACGACGGTAAACCTTAATTTACTGATACCCTAATATATTAAGTAATATTGTTATGGACACCTAGATCATCTAATGCGCAATTGTCTCCATGTAGGATTCGAATTTATATAGATATACTTCCCAAATATCAGAAAATTTTCAATAATACCTTCCATAGCTAGGTAAATTATTGAGGTATTTGTAATCTTTTGTAGCGATTATTGAAATTTGGCATAGGTCACTTATTAGGTCCAAGGACGAACTCTATTGATATTGGTAAAATTCGGTTCAGATTCAGATATAGACCCTATATATATTTCGATTTGCACGAAATTTGACATAGCGCAATGAATTAGGCCTAGAATGATGTGTGCTAAGTTTTCTGAAAATCGGTCCAGATTTAGATATAGTTCATATATATATATCCGTTCAGATATATATATATATATATAAAGTTTGTCCAATTAACACGAAATTTTGCACTACGTATCAAATTGAGACTGATATGAATGACGTTATTAGGTTTTGTTGAATATACCCAAAGAGGTGAAGGGTACCATATAGTGGGCCCAGTCCGACTTTACTACTTTCCTTACTGGTTTATTTATTTTTTTCTTTTTGGAAAAAGGCAAAGTTTAGTAGTTTTGGTTCACTATTTTGTACGCGTTTTTAATACCCTTCACCACACTGTGCTACAAGGTATTATGTCTTTGTGCATATGTTTGTAACAGGCAAAAGGAAACGAGATAGACCCATGGTCCCTTTTGAGAATATGCATAGAATCACTTTCTAAGTCGATTTATGCATGTCCGTCCGTCCGCCTGTCCGTCCGTTTGTCTGTCTGTCCATGTTAAATTGTAAACAAAGTACAGGTCGCATTTATGATCCGAATTGGATGAAATTTGGCACAGGTCACTTATTTGGCCCAAGGACGAACCCTATTGAAATTGGGAAAAATCGGTTCAGATTTAGATATAGCTCCCATATATATAGCATAGAGCTACCATAAATAGCTTTGTCCGATTTCATGTAAATGGTGCACTAAAGTCCTTATATAACTTTCGATTTGAACGAAAATTTGCATAGTGTACTAAATTGAGTCTAGTATGACGTGTGCCATGTTTCGAGTAAATCGGTTCAGATTTATATATAGCTCCCATATATATTTTCGTCCAATCTAAGGTAAATGGGGCTTCCAAGTCCCTAAGTATCTTTCGATTTGCACGAAATTTGGCATAGGGTACAGAATTAGGTCCAGAATGATGCGTGTTAAGTTTCGTGAAATTCGGTTCAGATTTAGATATAGCTCCCTTATATATTTTCCTCCGATTTAATATAAATAGTGCACCAAAGTCAAATTTCGTGCAAATCGAATGATATATACTTTCGATTTAGATATAGCTCCTATATATTTTTTCTTTCGATTTTATTTAAATTGTGCACTAAAGACCCTGGTTAATATAAATTAATCTCTGGCAAGTCTCGTTGAAATCGGTTCACACTTAGATATAGTATCAGATATATACCTGACCAAATGAAAAATTTAGTATAGGTTGCAGAATGACATGTTTATGGATCCAATTTCATTTTATTGGTCCTTCAAAAATGCGACGTCTGTTAAAATGCATCTTTTGAATATACCCAAAGTGGTGAAGGGTATCATAGAGTCGGCACCGTCCGACTTTACTACTTTCCTAACTGGTTTTTTTTGGAACATCGCATTTCTTTTACTACAAACTAATTTAAAAATTAAGGAATATCTTCACCGATTGGATTTATCCTAGTTAATACAATAGCTATACACTCACAGAGAAACGTCCCAAAATTTGAAATCGCCATTCGCAAAAACGCTGTTTGGAGAAAACACGTTTAAAGTTTGAGAAGCCCTCATTCTTGAATTTGTGTAGGTTCGAATTAAATCAAAATACAACATGATTTTTTTGAAACCAAGAATGGGTGGAGTCCCCTTAAGGCATGTCATCGATTCATGAAGTGCATGCATATTCTCAAAATGAAGCAAATTTCTATATAGTTTTTGTTTGCCTGTTAGAAACACATGCACGAATACATAATACCCTGTGAGAACAATACCCACAGTGCGATGAATATGGGGGCTACCTACAAAAGGAGACGAAAATACAAAATTACATCGAATTCGGTTGAAAACTGAGTGCAATATATGTACCTTCGACTGATCTGATGTAAATTCTGCACCAAATAACTAATGTTTGTCCTATTGAAATTTCGCGTTAAAATCGGCTCACTCAACTACTTTTCCACATTATATGATGTTTCGATAATTTCAAAATGGTTGAAGACAATTATCAGCAACCTTTTACCATCAACTTTGACTTCAACCTGACACTTTAAATGGATTATTTGCCGTCATCAAAGAAATCCGCTGTCTTGCTCCAGGCGCATATCAATATTAGGTCACATCACCTGGAGCTATCATCTTCTTCGCATAACAATGGATGAAATACTAATTGTTCCAGAAATTCCCATCATACTTGTAACTTTAAACAACCACTTTCGTTGTGAAAATCAGAACTTTCAATCTCGTTTCCATTGCTTTAGGGCAGGTCAGATATTTTTCTTAAAAAAAACACACACAATAACGAAACAAAACATCTAAAACAAAACAATTAATTATTACCAACAACAATGGCTGCTGATAAGAAACCTGACCGTCGGCTGCTGTAAATAAAAGTGAAATTTCCAAGAAAAGTTCATCGAAAGTCATTCATTTATGCGGAGCAGATACACACACACAAATTCTTCTTCGTCTTAGGTTGTTCACATATTCTCACATTCGACTGCAGCTTCAATTAAATCTGTCATTGTCTGGAGTGAAAAATCTTGTGGGATGGTTGGCTCTTTAAAGTGATCAACCATCAACCTGCTATGTGACAGTAGTTTCTTAAACCATTTAAATGGACAATACCATGGAATGTGTTTTAATACTTGACCATCTGGCTACAGTGTGGATGTTGCCATTAGTTTCAATCGCCAGCCATGAATATGAAGATATTCCTTACGTGTGTGCATCATTAACCTCGTTCTGCTCTCGGTTAAGATAAATAACAGCCGGAAATTAATTGTTGTAAATGTAATAAATTTAAAGTATTTCATTTATTAGTTTTTTACCGACACCACTACAT